AATTTGACAATTCAGCTTCTTTTTTTGTTGACGAAGGACGCATAATGGTCATAATGATCTTTGCGTCGACACTCCTGAACATTATCAAGAAAAGTTAGAACACAGTTACCAGCGTTGGTGATGCCGGCCAAGACAGACCATTACATGGGGTCCGTAGCATCAGCGGTTTCTCAATACGATGTACGATGGTGGAATAAGATAAAGCTGGCGCAGCGATCTTCGATGATCATCAATCTTTGGAGTTGTGCCTTTCAAGTGTATGCCTTCAATTTCTGGCAAGGAACGATTTGTACATAATCATCACTGGCTAAATTTTGCGTCAATCTCCTTGTAGATTATCCTTTCGTCGTTTATATGGACTATCTTTACGCACGGCCGTTTACAGTCCACAACTCTTGCAGATAATGGAGCAGCAGTTGTCGTCATTAAGGGACACAGCTTCTCCGTGAGTACTAGACAGGAAGACTGTACGTCGCCGCTGAACTACTTTGCGTTAGCCTATGATAAAGCCGGCAATAGTTCCATCAGGCACGATTAGCATACTGTTGCAACGATGATAATCAGCGTCCTATTTTACAAATTTAGAATGAAGACGTAATAAAAGCGGACGAACAAGAATGATGTGTTGGTCTTTTATATTACCGATAAAAGTTATATCGACACCCATATAGAAACTTTGACAACGCCTTATTGATCTCATCGCACCAAAACTCAACAAGAGATGGATCGCTGTATTAGTACAGACTTCGCCGGCATTGTAGACCGTGTCGTCAATTAATTATTGCATAAACTGCGACTGAGTGAAGTATTTGAGTGTCACGATGCATCCATCAGGGGGCATCGGGATCTTGATAACAGCTAGGACCTGTGCTCTAGTCCATTTAAATTTTACTAAATACATAGACTACCCGTTGGCACATCTCCCATCAGTATTCTTGATAACTGCAAATTTTCATATATTTCGTATTACATATTAGTAAAATGTGTAAAAAGGTGTCACTTTCTGACCATCTGGAAACAGATGGTTGGACGAAATGTGCCAATCGTGACCCTTGAATTATAATTTCGAGGGTGAGAACCTCGTTGACGCGTAAGAGTGAGTTCGTACCGATGGCGATTTTTTGTTATCAACAACTATGTGGATCCGTGAACCACGCATACACCGCTCTTTAAAAATGACTTATACTCATTTGTAAGTGCAACTTGGTGTAAGGGACGGAAAGACAGCATATAAATGAAATCTTAAATTAAATCGAGATGAACGGACGTCAGACCAATTACCTCGTCAGGTGGCGCGGGTAATCACCTTTGTGGGATAGTTGGGAGACTCGCTATCCAATAATGATAAGCGTTTTAACAAGGTAGGCGAATGCGACGATGCCTAACCGATGTGTATTAATGCCATCAATCAGGGCATTCGTAAAATAAATCTAAAGTCGCAATGCATTTATACGTTATAAAGGACATGCGCTTTGGGATGATAAGGGGTGCTTCATCCAGGAGCATCTTTGAGGTTGGTAATTTAACGCTGACAATAATAAGCCCATGAAGGACAGGACGGGTCTGGCTCGTTAATAATAGATTCGATTTGTACCGCGCACCGGCAAATATATTCTTCTGGTTTTTACATCGATCTGCAGTAGTTAAATGAATTAGGCTTGAAAGACGATGCAAACAGCATTTCGGATGCATCGAATTTCACGAATGACCCAACATGCTATTGTTACGGTCACTATTTCCGTTTTGCCATCAAATATTATTTAGGACATCAATTTAGTAATCATGCTCAGTGCGATGACCATTCGTACTGACGTTAAGGCAATACGGCCTTGACGAATTAAACATGGTAGCTCGACCCAAATCAGTTGTAGTTACAAAACTCCAAATCAAATTTCACTGGTGTGGAAACAACATCTTCTTCTCAGAAGATAGACACGACACATCCTTGGTCTTTTTCTCCTATCTATGATAATGAAGGTATAGACATAACGACTGTCGCGATATCTCCGATCGCTTTGACTCTGGTGCCATTAACTCAATTTTGCGCGTTATTTACGAGATTGTGCTCTTATAAAGCTGTACTCGTGTTAGTGCGGTCGACACGGTCCCAATTACAATCCGTCGGATCTATCAGACGGTTCGGACAACTCGACGTGCTCAGCTTCGATGAGGTCGCCACGACAGAGAGAACTCTAAGTCGTCTCTTACGCAGCACCTTCCTCTGATTGCATTGACGAGTGTTTATGATTCGGACAACCATTTTACTTTCCAGACACACAAAATTAGTTCAAAGCCATCATTGAATTGTGATGGTGAATGGCGATGCAGGTACATGCGCGCTTATGTAATTGTGGCGTATGGTTTAGCACATTATCTAGGTTTCTCGCAGTGACGTTTTCCAGTTATACGTTGTTAAATCAATGAGAAAGAGGTTTTAGGGAAACGACGGGGCGTGATAGCGACATTTAGTAGGCGAGCGACAGTGGTTTTGGAATAAAATGTAGAAATTGTAGAAAAGTATAAGCACTCATAGAACACGATTTACTTCTAGTTTTATTCCTTTCCACAAGTGCATCTTCTGAACGAACACCATCACTTCTGGTACTCGCAGCCGGTATAATATGAGTGGTCGCAAGAGCTAAAAGTAGTGCATGAGAATGTGCAAATGCAGAAGTTGGAGATGCAGGATGCTTAAAAATAGGAGCAGGCAAACCGTCAGCTACTGCTAATCTCCGTACACCATATCGACAGCTGTACGCGTCTTTTCAACCACCTCGTTAGCAACTTTGGTAGCACATCGCATAAACTCGTTAACCACGAGATGCAAATTGTAATGGAATGGACTAGACTAACAAGTGATAACTCTTTCCAGAAAGACCTTACCGTGTTCACTCTGCCACCAGTCATGTGTCAGTCACAAACGTAACAATATGCTGTAGGGGCGGTGGTGTAATGGGGTGAGCTCGTTCCATATCATTGATACCAGAAATAGTTCAGTGCTTATGTTATCTAAAATTGATAATACTACCTAATATGTAACGGGGTAGCCCGTTACATGAAATTGTCATTAAGAATAAAATGGCAATAAAGAATATTACGTTGACTATTCTATAAACAACATCACGAAGCACAGTGATATCGTTAAAATGACCGAAGGGTCTACTCATTGGATGATATTGTGACTATATCAACCCACCAATCGCTGCTAGACGTGCACAATGGGTGGTGAGTAGACGTCATCATACATTTAATCAGATAAGTATGATCAAGTCAGGACGAACAAGAGAAACGAGGGTTATAGAACTTAATTTATATTATATAACAGTTTTAATTTTACCACGACTAGAGTCTTTAACTTAGTCGCTTATTTTCCTCTGTAGCAGTGTTATACATAGCAGGGCACTGACCTTCACTGTTGTCAGTGAAAGTCAACTCCGTACTGGCAAACCAGTACGTAGTTGTCGGTGCCCCGTTACATAATATGTACTTTGATAGGTAAAGCTGAAGAAGTGTTGCCTTCGAAGGTAGTAATCAGCAATGCTCTACCCTTTAGTCAAAGTAGGTCATTATATATCCGAGCTAAATCACCAATTACCGCCTGACGCGTGCAATAAGCCATGAGAAATCAGCTATACTTGGGGGTTGTAGTTTGATCTATTTTGATTAAGATCAAACACATTGTATTTGTTGGAGAGTTCACAAGCTGATTGTAGGATGTAACTACTTGGAGAGCTACTGCCATAGTGGGCAAGTAAGACGCACAAGAGATCTGTAGAGCTTCTAGTCCACTCAAGTCACGATCCACTTGCAAACACTTCCATACAAGCATTAAGGAGTAATTATTCTAATAATCCTCTTTCGTACATTTGTCTAAATCGCGTTTCCGCACTCTTCCTGCCATATATGGCCATCCTGCCTTAGTGCGGCCCATGTACCCCACAACATACTGCAGCACTTTTGCTCTGAGCTAGTCAGTTACTGCATTTTTGATGTCAAGGAGCGACATCGACCCATATCGTTGCCTGTGTGAAATTACGAGCTAAGCTATAGTTCGTCATGATAGTGCCAGTCATACTGGTCGAAGAAGCGGTATTTGAGCTTTCCCCGAAGATTTGATTGATCATATAAGCCGTAAACATAGTTTGTATGGTAGCATTAGACACCGACAACAAAGTAGTAAACGTCAGCGTAATCCTGGCCGTTCCACAGGGTCAAAAAAGCGGGCTGTCATGACGCCACTTGTCGAGAAGGCACAACTTCGGGGTCACGCTATCATTTGACTCAGCCAAGAATATGATGGGTACGCCGCTTCGTAACAGAATATACCCCTGTAGAGGTATTCTACCGAGCGAGCGTGGTGTGACTTCACTGCAAGCTAAAGACCAATTGAGTCATCAAAGGCTTGACGACACAACAACGATTCTTGTGCTTTAGATTCTCAACTCTCTCATGCCAGTTATGAAGCGCTGTTAGTTTCAATAGCATACCACTCGCAATCCCACTGACACTACCGCACTGAAGGAGCCGGCACGTACTACTTCTCGTGGAGACGACCGCATATTTTCCTTGCGCAAGTGCGACATCTTGACTCGATTGCACATTTGCATACCGTAGCTCATCTTTAGCCCACCGACTTGTTCATATTCTTGTCTTATGCAGCAAAAGAAAGTGAGCGAAGTTTCATTTGGAGCCATGCGCTGCTAAAGGTGACTTCGCTAAAGCGCAGCAACTGTCATAACATGCCTCAGTTTGCTTTTCTTCTGTATGCGCGTGGGTCAGATACCTCTGTGTCACTTACTTGCATTTTTTACATTCGTCAGAACCTCATAGAATGAATGACAATGTTAGCTACACTGTCTACTCTACCGCCGTTTCCACGCGCGTGAGCGCTAGCCACGGCAAATCAGATTCGTCGTCTGTCATGTGCAGCTCCTCCCCTGTTCTTTCGTACTAAGCGCAAGAAATGTCACGATCAAGAGTATCGGTGATTACATTCCAGCTTATTGAGAATCCACTACGGGTTTTGCGACACCAGGGTGCTCACGAAGCAGCCATGCCTTACAGGATGACACGACCAACGGATCAAAGTGATTTTTCTCTTCCGCCGCTTTAATGGCCTTGTCAAATCGGACAGGATTGTTCCGGAAACGTTCGAGCAGCGCCTCGGTGACGGTGTTAGCGTCAGTTGTATATTCGCGGGGTTGTTTGGTAAGCACGCTCAGGAGTTTGACGACCACTGGTGAGAAGAAATTGGCATCCTCCTTTACCAACGGAAAGATCGACTCCAGAGGATTTTCTATCGGGTCCGATTTTTCCATAAATGAGACGAGCCGTCGTTCCACTTCCAGTTGTTCATCAAGAGCAATGGAGTTTAGCATCTTTGTCAGAAGAATGTTCCGATATTGGACCTCATTAAAAACTTTCATCAAGTGGTCGTACACCGCACTTGTCTTGGGAATGTAGTTGCCCACGTTTCCCGTCTTCGTCTCGGGCACCACTTTCCCCGATGCTTCAACGGCGTCGACAATACCAGTGCTCTCTCGAGCAAGTGCACTGACTTCGTGTAGCTTTTTAGCTTCCAAAGGAGCTTCCTTTCTCACCACGGACTTCAGCGCTTGCACAACTTCCAGCACTGGCTCAGCATTCATCCTCTCACCACAGTCGATTCGTTTGGTCGCCCACGGATAGTGAACATTGCGATCGTGATGCTCATCACCGTCACGAATATCACCCATGCTGTTCACCGCGAAATCGGATGCTTCCGCATATTCAGAGACCACATTAGCGAAAGCAGCACAAGACAGGAGTGCAAAGTCACAGGGACGCATCTTCGCCAGAGTCGTACTGGGTCGTGGTGTCGAGTGAACACGAATGTTGGAATGACCGAGACGTGGGTCGGGCAATAGGCTGCCAAAGACACACAGGGTCCAGCGGTTTACAAAGCGCAAATCTCAATCTTGTGGTGGTGAGAGATCGCCTGTCATTGGCATTTTATATACCGAGATATGCTAACCACCAATCTTGCTCGGCTTACCACATCCACATTGCGTTACCTGATTGGCTGGTGGATTATCAACTGATGAGTTAGCCGACAGCAGCCATTGTGAAAGAGTAATGAATGACCAGTTGGCTCCATGTTAACACCGGTGTCGTCTGCGTTGGCCGTAAACAAGAGTCCGACACATGGACAAGTGCCCGGGCACGAGGCAGAAAGCGACGTGGAACAGTTGCGGCTTACACCCGTTCGAGGCTTTCGATGGAATGTGCACACGATCGTACCCTGACTGCCCTTCTGGCATTTTGTGATGTGGGCACGATAATCTCTTGTGTGGAAATAGATCTTGTTCGAAAACGATCTTGCAAGAGCGACACGACTTCAAGATATGGAGCGACGAAATGATAACTGACATGGTCACATTCGCCGATGGTGTTCGCAAGCAAGTCGACATGGCACTCCAGAGCACCATGTATCACACCAGACCTTGGGAAACGACACGAAACTTACCCCGAGCGACTTTGCATCGTATGACTCGAACATAAGTCCTAAGAGTGACCTGTGCATTGCTGCATCGACTCGGCTCTCTTGTCGTTCCGGACGCAGATGCTGTTGGCACGACACGATGGATAACATGCCCAGCGTCCGAATATCTTTGGAGCTCTCACCAGCGCACTCACCCTTTTCTTCAGATAGCAACAAGAGCAGGAGCTGGTCTACGATCGTCGGGCGTAAACGCTACCGTCTACTGGAAAGCTTTGTTGCGTCCATGTATCCCGACAGGTTCATCATCGGTCCCTGTGCTTGACCTCGTTCGGTGTCGCTGTGACGGCTCCGCCGCCGACAACACCTTGCGCCATTGGTTCATCTGTACACTGCCTTCAGTGTCTGTTTGTCGATCAATCTTCACGATCAGCGCGATCGCGCTTCGACGGAGATCAACGGTCAGCTGTCCCGAGCACTATGTTCGGGATGCTGCAACGCGAACGCGGCGAAAGTTGCTCTCTTGAAGTCATATGTTGTGTCAACGTGTCGCGCAGCCGCCGGTCTCGGATCATGTCCTTGATCAAGTGTGGGTCGAAGTCGTCGGGCAGCGATGCCCAGAACTCGCGGTTCGAGAGCAGAAGGCGATATGGGCCGGTGTTTACATTGACCAAGATCTGAGCCCAGATACTAAAAAGCGGAGACACGATGAAATCTGCAAAGCCAACCTGCATCTTTCGGAGCACGATGGTGTCTCGATCCATGAACGGTGACACTGGGAGTCCCAGCTGCTTTTCCATATCGCCCTGAATGAAAAACTCTTCCACCACGCGATCAGTCCAGCGCAGCATCAACTTCCGCTCTTTCGCTGGATTCGACACGTCGCAAGTGTGAAGAATCATCTTGAGAAGCAACTTTTTGTCGCCCACGTTCTTGACCAGTACAGCACTTTCATCGAGCGCCGCCGATAAGATACTGGTCTTGAACAGCGCCACGTCCTCAAAATGCTTTGCCATGTCCGTTGCCAACACCATCTGAATCACCATGTCGCGCGCGTACTTGAAGTCATCCGGCGCGAGTTGGCCAAACACGTTGAGCTCCGACTTTTTCATGACCAAGAAAGATTGTGCGACGTGGTAGTTTTCCAGCACTGCGTGGTCGTTGTAGCGCAGCGCGAGCTCCGATGCCGTGGAAATGTGGAAACTATTGTTGAAGCCGTCATGCATGAAGTCATGCACACCTGCAGCAATGAGCGACAACGCGCGATCCAGTGGACGCAAAAACGGTGCGAGCTCGGGCTGAATGAGGAAGAAATGAACAGTCTGCATGACATCAGCTGCGTGAATGGCATTGTGATACGGGTTCGCGGACACGTAGCCTCGTTGGATCTCTAGCAGAAAATTCACAAGCACGTCGCTCTCAATGTTCAGTGCCTCACACGGCGTGCTCCCAAGCAGGTGATACCCAATGCAGCACAGCGCGTTCCCACCGGAAACAACATGCACCCGGAAAACGTCAAAGTCCCACGAGTTCACGTCTTGCAGCAAGTTTTGCAATTCAAACTCAGAAGCAGAGTCTAACGATGGAAGAAAGTCGCGCATCGTCGCGCCTCGATTGCCACACACAAGCGAGTGTTGTTCGTGATATCTGTGGAGCGACTCAGACCTTGATCGTGCAGCGGCGCTACTGCCAGAGCTGACATCGTAGTCTAATGGATCTACGTCCGAGCACGAGCTTCCCGTCAATGAGCGTAGACGCTTTCGAGTCGGACTGCCTAACTCGTTCTCGATCCCACGTTCACGCAATCCCATGCTCAAGTCATTTCCTTCCAGTGTGTCCCCACGCCGCCAATTTCGCCTGTCCTTGTCAACTGCTTCCACGTCAAGTAGTTCCTCATTCGCTTCGTACAACCTGTTGTTTTTGATCGCGTCGATAGCAAAGTCCAGTCCAGCTCTCAACGACGGCTGGATCGCAGGATGGAATCGCAGTTCGTTCAGGACCATCAACACGTGCTCTACGGGTGACGTGGTATCCCCCTTGTGCAAGTGCGTGAGGTTCATCGACCTTGACCTCTGCTTCACTCGGTCAAGCACGACCAAGACCCTCCACACTCGTACAACTCCTCTCCCTCGCAAAAGCTTGACCATCAGCGTCGACGTCGTTCCCGCGACAGCCACAACGCCCAGCACAACGCCAACGACATTCACCACTGCGTCCACCTGCACACCCACGTCTCTCATGCAGTGCCGTCCGTAGGCACACACGCGCAGTGCAATCTCCAGCAGCAAAATCGATCCCAGCGTAACCTCCGCCACGTCCATTGCAAATTTGTACAGCGTCAACGTGTCGTCCGCCATCGTGAGCTGCACGGCCGCAACGGCCCCGTGGCACAGCACAATCATCACAAAGAACACGTCCACACTAAGCTGCTGCATGAACGCGCCCAGAGCCACGCGAGCGCGCTGCATCGTGAAAACGTGAGGGACGTCGCCTCTTGTCCGCGTTGCTGGTCCATTGGTGCGGGCCACGCGTCGCTTCCTCGAGTGTCCGTCAGCGCTGAGAGGTGGGGGAGCACCACCGACTGCTGGCGCTGCTGCACGCGATCGCCTTCGGACCCGAGCGAACGACTGTCGCTTCGGTCGGCAGCCACTGGACGGCGACGGAGCGGCTGCGGACATGACCCGAGCGCCCCTTTGCTCGTGTGCGGCTTCGACTCGACTGGACCGGACGGGAGACAGAGAGACGGACGCGCGCAGTGGGTGTGTGTGGCTGTCGAGCCACGAGGCGGCGGCGGCCGACGGGACGGGACGCGATGCCGCGACGGCGTTCGTTGAAGACGCTGTCGCTCGCGTCGGTCGCGTGGGTCCGTTCGATGTCCGAGCGCGAGTGATGAGGGGCTATTTATGACAAAGAGGCACAGACAGACAGACAGACAGACAGACAGACAGACAGACAGACAGACAGACAGACAGACAGACAGACAGACGTGAGCAGCCCGGACGACCGTTTCGGCGTAAGCAATTGCTCCGACCAAAGCGTCTGAAAACAAGAGACACCTGTTGGGCTTGACGTGAGGTTATTTGGATATATGTACACATATGTGTGTGTGTTTGGGTGTTTGGGTGTTTGGGTGTTTGGGTGAATCGAACGGGGGCTGGTCGCAGGTTGTGGCTTTTCACGCAGTTTGACCGAATGTATCGCAGCAGCGCGTGCGAAGGTCTGCGAGTTGCTGGCAGTGTATCGCTTGGAGCCTGTGACGGTGTCGGTCCACTGATTTGTGCGTCCTCCACACGTCCGCATGTGTGTTTCTTGACACGTCCCTCGTCCTCATAGTGATTCCTCCGCCTACCGATCGTCTCGTGTGTGTTCGAGTGCGTACCAACACCCAACTGACAACGTAGAGGACGAGTGTCTGCTGCTTGACAGCGCACGTCTACAACTGAAAGGCACAGAAGGGCGTTCGCTTGTTGCAGGTCGGACAGGTTCGCGTCTCTAGGCGTGACGAAGCTTTCCGTCTTCGATCGACCGCCAAAGAGGCAGCAGAAGTTACATCACAACACACGTCGTCGACCTGTCGATACGATCGATATCGATCACACGCACACATTGTGTCCCGCAATCGTCCGCTTCTGCTTTGTCCCTCGGAACACGAGCAAAGGACAGCTGACCACACACACACACACATACATACACATACACACATGTCTATCTATCTGTATCTATCTATCCATATACACAGACGAATATGTCTCTGCCAAAGTGGCTCTGTCTCGACTGCACATCGCCCACTGCTTATAACGGCCTCTGCGCCTGTTGCAGGTCTTTTTCCAAGCGCTTTCGCGCAGCGGTCTCTCGTGCTCTCCTTTCCTTCCACTGAGATTCCATATTTTGCCTCCCGCGAGACCTCGCGCACTTGATCTTTCTATGTCGCAACGGGCTCCCAACGTCAAAGAAGAAGAAGAAGAAAACGAAGAAAACGAAAAAGGAGGAGAAGAGGAGAGAAAGAAGAAGAAGAAGATAACAGGGGCAGACCTTACCATACAAACGTCAAGTCAGCGAGGGACCGACTGCACGCGCGCAACTTCAAAGCAAAAAGCTCAACGGACTGTGACCGACTGACGAATCAATCGACCGATTGACCGATTGCCCGACGGATTCCTTGACCTCAACAGAGAAGCGCTCGAGGAAGCAGAGCGCCGCACCGACAGTGAGCGCGCGACGGCAATGCACCGCCCGCGCCACTCGTCGCTCGACGTCGTCGACCCCCGCGGCGGCGCCTCTTCGCAAGAGGAGTGGACCGCGTTCCTGTCGTCGAGTATGATGGCGCTGTCGACGACGGCCGATCCAGAAGCGTCGCCGCCCCTGTCGCGCGCGCACTCGCCCCCCAAACGCACCGGTACCGTCCAGCAACAGCAGTCGAGCGACGACCCCCTGCGCACCCGTCGGGCGGCAAAGCCACGCGGGATGTCGATGAACGAAGCGCTGTCGCCGTCGCTGCCGCAGTCGGTCGACGTCTGGCGCCCATTGGGTCGTCGCGTGGCGTCGCCGCCGCCGTCGAACTCGTCAGCGGCCACGTCGCCGCTGTCGGAGACGCCCACGGGTCGACCGAGTCGCGCTCTGCTGCCGGACGTGGCTACACGTCGGGACCAAAGGGGGCGCAGTGCTCTGGTGGACAAGGGAAGCACGGAACAGGGCACGGAAGAGAAGCTCCAGCACGTGGCCGGGTATCGAGGAGTCGTGGGCTCGTGCCTGTCGTCGTCGGGCTCGTCGTTTTACGACTCGTCGTCGTCAGAGGACGACCAACAGCAGCAGCAGCAACAGCAGCTCAAAGGACGTGCGTCGTCCATGCAGAACGTGCTACTGGGTTCAGTGTCGGGGGCGCCGCCTCCGCCAGTGGATCCAATGTATGCCGAGTCGTGTCTCCCTGTGCTGTCGCAGCTCCCGCGTCCACCGCGGAGCATCAGTGTGGACAGTGGGAGTGGAAGCCTGACGAGCTCGCTCCTTCACGTCAAGTCGCCCGTGCTCGGGAGCCAGAAAGATGCACAGACGTGGCAATTGCAAGACGAAGAGTTTCTGATGACGTCGCCACGCTTTGGCACGTCGCTGAACAACAGGGACGGAGAGCAGGTCGACTCGTTTCACGATGAGAGCGTGGGCTCGCTGCTATCGACGTACGTGGGTATGTTGTGACTTGAGTCTGGCTGTGCTTGCGTTTGACGTGGATGGCGTTGTTCTGGCCACTGTACAGCGACGCGGGCAACCAGTACGATGACAAGTACCAAGGCCATCCCAGGTGAGTCGAAGACTGTCGTTTGCGACGGGTTTGCTCTGAACGCTAATGTGTTTCGATGTGGTCATTGCGCTGGGTGAAAGCAGGTTGACTAAGGACACGCGCGCGTCGTCGATGGACTTTACACTGGGTCGGCGTGACGAAGTAAGCCCGCCACTACCTCCTCCACAGGAGCCGTATCAACGGCTACGTGCGCGGTCGTTTTCATACTCGGCGACGTATGGAGCTTCGGTACACGACCCCTTTGGCAAGCAGCAGTTCGGCTCCATGCCTCTCCACCAGCAGCAGCTACAGCAGCCACCGCCAATGATGGCACAGGATCTGCCACAGTCACTTCGCAGTTTCCATGCTGGAAGTGGCATGATGCCACCGGGACAACTACAGTCACTGCCCGCTGGCGTTCGTCCTCCGCGCGGGAGCATTCGGACGGATCCTTCCATACGCCAGTATCAGGTTTGCTTTACATCTCGGCTTGTCAAGCGTCACCTCAGTCACTCATGTTACTTATGATCGTGGTGTGGAATCTGCTCATTCAGTACGGGCCGCCAGTGCCGTACCGCCGGTACTCTGATGCGTTTACAATTCCGTCGTACCCGGATTCGTACACCGGTGATCAACAGGAAGTGCCACCACGCCAGGGGAGCGCGGGTCGTGTGATGCGCTCGTACAGCATGGAGTTTGGAAGCTATCCGTCTGCGCGCCAAGTTCGTAGCCAATCGATGGAGGGAGTACAGCTTTTTGCATCAGCGCCTCCAATGGAATACTGTCCATCTCTGAGTCGTAGCAACTCGGCCGGTGTGGCCTTCGATTGGTCACGTGGACGTATGGATACGGCGCCCCCGCTCCCGCCAGATGTGCGACCCGCAGGTGGCAATGGTGCTAGCCATTTTCCGCGCCCGCCTCCGGAAGCGTACTATGATGTGGAGTTCAAACGGGGACGGAAGGAAGTGTTTGCTGGTCGTGCAGCGTACAAGCCTGGTGATTACGTCAAGGTATACTCTGGTACCTATAGTCTCTGCGACGATGTTCTGGCCGCTCACAAGAAGTTTGGTCGTACATACAGGTCGAAGCGGATCGTGGAGAAGACATTGGGCGCATTGTACGGCGCATTACCGACGTGTCGAAGGGGTTTCCGGTGAATGAAACGGGAAGCGCAGGTGAGGAGTGCACGGGGCGTGGCAAGCGCCATGACCTGCCGACGAAGAAGATTATATGTGTAGCAAGCCAGCGTGAACTAGAGGTGCTGAACGGACAGGTAAGACTTTTGCGTTTGGGTATTGATGTGTGTGCGCCGAACGTAAGTACGGTGAGAGAGATGTGACGGTTGTTGTTTGTTTGCAGCGTAAAGAGGAGTACGAGGTGTTTGAAGTATGCAGGAGCAAAGTGCGTCAGCGCCTGCTTCCCATGAATGTGATTGACGCGGAGTACCAGTTTGACCGTCACAAGCTGACGTTTTTCTTCGAAGCCGACCGGTACGTGATGGTGCTCCGAGGTGGTCACTTGCGTGCGCGTAGTGTATCTGATGCCCGTGCTTGTCGATATAGGCGAATTGACTTTCGGGAACTCGTTCGTGACCTCTTTGCGATCTACAAGACGCGCATCTGGCTGCAACAGGTCGTTCCGTCAGGCAAGAAACCGGGATGTGAGTCCGAGAGTCGGTAACTGCTCTGAAGCAGCACTGCCAGCAGTGGGGGGAGTCGTTCATGCGTGGGTACAAGTACATCACTCGCCCAGCCAGAGTCAGTCGGTCGGTCGCCGCGAGACGGGCTGTGACGATCGGTGTCGGACGGTACTGAACAGCACAGCTCGAGCCTACGAGGTCAACGGCCTAATAGACGCACGACGTGCTTCGAGACTTGAAGCAGCAGCAGATGCAGCGAGAAGATGCAGGAAGAGGACGTTTTAGATAGCAAATTAGACGGATGTGTTCTAACGTGCGACGTTTGCGCGCAATAGACTGTTTTTGCTTCAACGCGCGTAGGAAGTCTGGGGGTCCGTCTCCTCCTCCGTGCACTGGTATCTCTATCCGAACGGCAGCGAAGGCAAACCACTCGACGCCCGAAAGGTGTCGCCAGCGACGTCCGTTTCTCGCTTTGCTTTGCTGCGCGGTGCGCCACTCGAGCGCTCGGTTTCGTCCACACAGTGTCGAGAAACTGTCGCCAATGTCGGCAACGGACACGTCGCTCGCGAGTTGGTGGGAGGTGGGGCGAAGAGACGGAAGCCACTGACGAGTGAGGTGGTCATTGTTGGATAGCGAAGCGACGGGCGATGAGGGACGAGGCACGTGAAGCGACCGGCCGCCGCGACAAGGCACTGGACCATTTCAGACCATCTCCAGGTCCTGCAGCTGCAGCAGTAGGTGACCTCCACAATGCCGTTCCGTTCCGCTTGTCCAGCGAAGAAGAGGCGGGTGGGATGCAGTGGGCTCGGGCCCACTTGACGCAACTGATGGCCGAGTGTGCGGCCCCACCGCCGATCGAAGAAGCGCACACGTCGACTTGGACGCGGGTCAACCGGACCCGAAAGCAGTCTGCCAGCGTGAGCTGCTGGGAAAAACACGCGGGGAACGCCGCCTCAGCGCTCAAGACGAAGGAGACAAAGCGGCGGTCGTCCGTGCCGAGTCGGGTGGCTGCCCTGACACGGAGACGAGGGAGTGGCCCGACGAGCTACAGCGTGCGCAGCAGTACGACGGTCGACGCCCCGCTGAACGCAGTGCTCAGAGCTCTGGACGCGTCCGTAGCCACTGCTCATCGGTCGTTTACTCGGATCATCTACGGCCCTCTCGTCACGGACACGGCCGTGCTCTGCCATAGCTCGACGCCGCCTACCGACTTGCTGGGCGAGGGCAACGACGACAGCTTGGAGACCCTCGCGGTCCGCTGGCTCACGTGTCGATGCAGCAACCCCACGGTCCACGACTGCGACTTTTGCTTGCAGGAGTACACGAAGCGCCACACGCTCGACGAGGTGACCAGGAACACTTCAATGGACCGCCGGTACAAGACGAAGCAGTGCCGAGATGACACTGCTGCTGAGTTGTGCGACGAGAGAGCGCAGAGCGATGGCCAGGAAGGCCTCCACGCGCTGGACGACGTGCCCGCGGCGTACAAACTCTTTCGCTCGATCGAGACACGGCACTGTCCCGAGCTGCTCAAGTCGCATCGACTGGTCCGCTGCAACGTGCCGCTTGGCGGGTTCCTCCTGTACCCCACCACCCGCCGCGACCGGACAGACGTTGTGTTCTACATGAACATTGCGCAAGATGCTGGCGCAGGCGATCGCACCGATCGCAGACGGAAGTCGGCGTCAAGCGCTGCGTTGCGGCTGACCCAGTGCAGTGACCGGCAGTTCCACGCGCTTCGGACCGTTGCAAGACAAATGGCGCTGCACATTGGCCGACTGAACTATGCCGTGGATTCGTACCGCATGGTCCGACATCTCGAGTCGCTGCGTTCGTTGCAGTGGGTGAACAACGCCGAGCGACAGCAGTGCATTGTTTGCTGCCGTCGATTCCGCCAACTCACGCGACGACGACATCACTGTCGGCTGTGTGGAGAGGTCATTTGTCGCGAGTGCTCGGTGCAGAAGGACGTGACTTCACCGACATCGGGTCCAGCGATGCTGCGGATCTGTACACGTTGCAACCAGACGTACTCGCCCTCCCAGCGAAAGGTATCGTCACGCAGTGATCCGGAAGTGAGCGTGTCATCCCAAGCGTTGCAAAGGTGTCGGGACGCAGTACGAAGAGACCGCTCGACTGGAAAATCGATGCTGGACCCCATGGCCACGTCTTCGTTCTCGGAAACTCGTCGACGTCAACGCAACAGCAGTCTGAGGGAAGAGATGGCCCGAAGCGTCATCGACGAAAGCGAATGGCCAGTGCTGGCAGAGCGGAGCTTTTTCGTGACCGCTTCGGAAGGTGCTGCGCATCATGTGGACACGTTCGAAGACGCAGCATCGAGTGGTTCGCAACGCGCGTTGTCTTCGGCGTCCGACAGTTGGCACTTTGCAAGCACATCGAGAAGCTCCCGAACGATATCAACGATCGAGCGGCCGTTCCTGACAACAGCGTCCGGTACTTCGGATCCAGCACGACCCCCGATCTCAAAGGTTGATGTGCATCGCGCATTTTCTGCAAACATCTTCTCTGCTTCTCGCAACCAAGAGCCGTCACCGTTGCCCTCGCGTTGTGAGTTACGAGCTGGAGATGGGAGAAACATGACTTGCGCAGACAACAGCGATGGCAACCACGAGCCACTCATCACCATGACAGGGATCTGCACACTGATCCGGCTGAACAATCGACCGTGGAGTCACCGAAGCTTTGAGACGCCAGACGTGTACGAGGACATTTTCCTCAAGCTTTGCGAGACTGCCGCCTCCGTGCGAAACTCCCAATTCGTTGCCTTGACGCTGTACACGCGCACGACTGAACAAGACGAAGGCCAGCAAGATGACGTCGAGGCAGCAGGATCCACCGTTTCGTACCTGAAAGTACGAGGCTGTGCCAAGCTCATGAAGATCACTACGGCAAACTTGCGGTGCTGCGAGCCCGTGCTTCAGTTGCAGACGCCCGTTGTGACACGGAATACCTGGGCGCTTGACGAGTCATCGATTCACCCGTCGGGATACGACTTCCGGCAGCTGCCGATCGTCATGGGGTCACAACGAGCGAGATTTTACGCTGGCGTGCCGCTCGTCAACACCAACGAGCACTACCGCTATGGTGCGCTGGCCGTCTTTGACGCCAAAACAAGTCGAGGCCGAGATGACGATCTGTCGATGAAGAAGACCTTGCAAGCGCTTCAGGTGTGCACTGAAGAAGCTATGATGGCCGCCGACGAACGGCGACAGGAGATTCATTTGCGAACCTTCTTGCAGGCGTCCTTGATTCCGCCACGTCGGTCGGAACCAGCGCTTCGTCCCAGCGTGGACATCCAGGAGTCGGACCCACAGTGGCTGACCATCGAACGCATTGATGGAGACAGTCACGACAAGGACGGCGTTGACGAGGACTACCGATACAAGGAATACGACGTCGTAGATGTCGAGACGAACAGCACTCCCGCGTTCACGAACAGTGGCACCTCCAGGGTCGGAAAAGCTCGTGTCGATTACTTCCAGAGCAAACTACAACAGCTCGTACAGCAGGCGCAGGACACGCAGGCTCAGATGGTAGAGAACACGCTGGTCATGGAGCGCCATCGACTTCCGATTGTCGAGTAAGACCTACAAGCTCTACGTCCCTTGACCTGCGGCATCGTGTCCACCAGAACCTCAGCATCCATTCCTTCTCCTTCGTCGTCAGCATTCCCTCCCTCCCCTAGCGTGCAAACCCAGAGGGTGGACAAGCACCTCCTCCACCACGTTCCTCGCTCTCTCTTACTTGGTCGAAAAGCCCTCGTCCATCTTCGTACGGAGCGCCAGCACCTTGGCGTTCCACCCTTCACGCACGTACGTGTAGTATACATGCTCCCGACTTGGCAGTGCTTCATACCGACAATAATTGAGCTGCGTCTGGCGCGACAAAAGCAGCATAGCATCCATCCATTCGTTACTATACGCACGTGTGTATAGCGTAACAACGACCGACCGAGCAAGTGCCTCGACGTACATGGCCATGCCCACTGAAGCTCTCCTTGACCTGTCTCGCCGAGTACAACACGACGTCCTCCCGCTCCTGCAGCTGGAGCTTGACCGCACCGTAGCGCAGTCCCCCGACCGCCACACCAGCGACGAACGCACCCAACGACATGTCGTCTCTCTTGCGCGTTTCTGTGCGATAAGAACACCACGAATGGTGTATACTATACACACACGTACGTACGTACGTATGTGCCCCTGTATACCTGCTGCACCGCACCTGATCATAACGAGCCAATCACCGAGCGCGAAACGATGCGGTGTTTCCAATCGTACCGGAGCTCTTCAGCGCCATTCAAAAATCGTCAATGCAGACGACAGACGTGGCCATTGAGACGGCCGAGACGGCCATGGAGACCTCTGCGGCGCCGTGTGGGCCGCAGACGTGCGAGGAGGAAATGCCGTTCACGGACGAGGAGCTCAGGAGCATGTTGAAGGTGCTAGACGTGCTGGCCCAGCGCAAAGAGCTGCTCGAGCAACGCAACTTTCGCGTACTGCGAAAGAAACTGGCGCCCGTGTCAGAGTACATGGAAGACCGCAAGTTTGGCGGCGTTGGACGCAAAAAGTACCTCGAAGACAAGGCGATCCGTGAAGAGAAACGTGCGCGGTACAACCAGCGCAAGATGCACGACCGCCGCCACATTAACAGCTCGACGTTGCGTCGGGAACGGCTCGCAAAGCTCGAGTCGCTGCTGCTGCAAGGGGACGACGCTGCGGCAGCACTGCCTATGATTGCCGACGGCGTAGCGGGCGAAGACGTGTGCCACTCTGCAGAGTTCCTGATGAACGGGCCAGAGCCAAAGCTGCAGAAGCTCTGCACTGATGAGGCAGAACAAGCTCGCGAGGAAAAGGCGGCGGCCGACAAGAAGGAGGCGAGTGCATTGCTAGGGTTTCGCTCGTGCTACACGTGCAAGAGTCGATTCGACAAGATCCACCACTTCTACGACCAGCTCTGTCCGCGTTGTGCCGAGCTGAACTTTTCCAAGCGCTTTCAGTCAGCTGACCTGCGCGGAAAAGTGGCGCTGATCACGGGAGCTCGTGTGAAGATTGGCTTCCAGACGACCGTGAAGCTGTTGTTAGGAGGAGCAGCAGTCATTGCTACCACGCGCTTCCCAAAAGACGCAGCCGAGCGCTTTGCGAAACACCCCGAGTTTGCGACGTTCAAGGATCGTCTTCAGATTTTCGGCATTGATTTCCGTGACCTGGTCCACTTGGAGCAGTTTTGCGACTTTGTCGTCCGACGGTACTCTCGTCTGGACATGATTGTGCACAATGCTTGTCAGACAGTGCGTCGACCGCCGACGTACTACAAGTTCCTCGCGGATAAGGAGATGAAGGCGCTCGAGGCGAGTCCGAAAGAGGTTCAGACGCTTATGCACCATCAACAGGAGTTTGAAGGGCACCTGAAATCGTTGGCGCTCCCGGCGTCGGATGCGAAGACGGTCAATACAGGTGGCAGTGTTGTCATGTCGTCGGCAATGAAGTCGCAGGTGCCTATGATCGCAGGTGACGACCACTCTGACGACAACGCCGAGGCCTTTCCTGAGGGCATGGTGGACGTGAATGGACAGCAGTTGGATCTCCGCTCGCGCAATTCTTGGCTGCTCCGTATGGGCGAAGTCGCTACTCCGGAAGTGGCCGAAGTGTTTGCCATCAACACACTGGCGCCTTTCATCATGAACAATCGCCTGGTGCCTATGCTGGAAAAGAGCGGCAAGCACGAGAAGAAGTTTATTGTCAACGTGAGCGCCATGGAGGGCAAGTTTTACCGATACAAGACGCCGAACCACCCGCACACAAACATGGCGAAGGCTGCGCTTAATATGATGACTCGTACGTGCGCCGAGGACCTGAGCAAGCGAAGCATCTACATGAACTCGGTCGACACGGGGTACGTCAATGGCTCCGACGTTGTCAACTGCGATATGTGCTGACTTTTGTTCTCACGTGGTCGACTTTGTTTGTTTGTGTGTGCGCCTCTTGTCTTCAGCTGGATCAACGACGAGAACCCACTGGCTAAGGCCCATGCGTACGCAGAAGCGCACGACTTCCAGACGCCCATTGACGAGATCGATGCTGCAGCACGCGTGCTGGACCCCATTTTCGTCGGCTACAATTCCGACGAGACCGTTTTTGGCAAATTCCTCAAGGACTTCCACGAGACCGAGTGGTAGTCGATAGATCAGCGATCGCAGCGCGGCAGATGGCGCATGCACGACGTTTAGTGCAGTACGCACTGCTGCAGCAACGGATTAAAACACTTTTTGCTGCGCGTGTACATGTATAATACAAAAACAGGGTTGAGTTTCGGACTGCGCACGTGATCTGACGATTCAAGTTGAAGTTGGTCGTCCTGCCGCCTCCTCATTGGCTGAAAGCAGTCTCAGATGTCCATATGTTTCGCATTGGTGACGCTGAACAGCTCACTTTGCGTCAAAGTGGGTACAATAGATATCCAGTCCGCCAGTATCGAAACGACTGTCCAGACCGCAGCGGCCGTCAAGAGCGAAGCGATCCGACGCGATGAAGACCGACACGCGCGTGGACAATGAAAAATACGGCCTTGCGCCTGGAAGCAAAGTCTGGTGCGCCACGCACCCCGTGCTGCGTCACAAGCTCACCAAGCTGCGCGACGAACGCACCGACAGTCGTATCTTTCGCCATTTGCTGCGGGAAGTCACGTTCTACCTCGGGTACGTGCACCGCAATGTACTGTAAACTGTAGCCAAAGTCAGAGTGTGCACGCGGCCGGAGATGATGATGATGATGATACGACTTGTTGTTGTTTCCTCGGGTAGGTACGACGCCACGGACGATCTGGAGACGACGCGCAAGCAGATCAAAGTTTGTCTCCAATGACATTTAGCTACTGGTCGGGACGATACCTCTTTGCAACTCGACTGAACGACGTGTGGACCGTGGACGTTCTTGTTTATGCAGACGCCAAAAGGTGATCATCAAGGGGACGAGCTGTCTACGTCGGTGGCGCTTGTGCCCATCCTTCGAGCGGGACTGGGCATGGTACAGTGACGATGGCCAGATCGTGTCGATCACGTGGTCTAGCTCCTTTCGTGCTGTGATTTGACTTGTCTCACATGGATGGTGACTGATGCAGGTCGAGCCAATGCTGGACGTGCTGCCGGATGCGACGGTACACCACATTGGTGAGCGGCCGCGCTATCTTTCATTGTTCGAATGCATGACGTGGTCGACGAGGGAAGCTTATGCCTTGTGTATCACTAGGAATGTACCGCAACAAGCAATCGCTTTTGCCCGTGCAGTACTACAACAAGCTGCCAAAGGAGTGTAATGTCGACGTTGCGATCATCCTGGAGCCAGTCATTGCTACTGGTGAGAGCGATGAGTGCAGCAACAGCCGTTGTTAGACTGTAGATAGCAGGCGGATCTCGTCTCAGACACCTCATGACCATTCGCTGTGTTCCTTTTGGCGCTGCAGCTGGCACGATCCTCGCAACGCTGGCTGTTCTAAAGACGTGGGGCGTGGGGAAGATCAAGATTGTCAGCACGATTGCGTCCAAGCAGGGTCTGCAAGAAGTGTGCGAGAAGAATCCGGACGTGGAGATCTTCTTGGCGGCCATTGACGATGGCCTGAGCGAGGTACACGTTGCCTGCTAGCAACTGTTGCTCGCCAGGAGACGGCGTTGATGACCGTTTGTCGCTTCTAACCGCGTGTGTTGTTGCCTTGGTTGACAGGAGGGCTACATCCTGCCCGGTCTCGGCGACGCGGGTGACCGTGAGTTCCGCACGGACAAGGAGCTCGAGAAGATTGAGATTGTGCCCAAGAAGCGGAAACTGTAGGAACGTAGCGAGCGCATTGACTGCGCATCAGGCAGTCAGTCAACTGATCTGCTCGTCGATTCCACCCAAGCGCTCGGCTTCACTGGGACCTTAATTTCCAATCAAGAGGCTCAGCTCAATCCACATTCAAATAGTGACTTGCGGCGATCCGCGTCCGCAGCTCTTGGCATTGTTCCATCGTACGTGACTGACGCGCGCGCCTGATGCTCACCAAAGTCACGACGCCGTCGCTGCTCCAGACGCGCTCCAGGGACCCGCTCGAGAGCTCGTGGCGGCAGCATATGGTACGAACGCGACGTGCCGTTCGCGTGGACCGCGTCTCGCGACACTAACACCGAGCGATCTCTTGACGTGCACAGGGCCACGGCCAGTGGGTCCCCGACGTCTCTGTCGACACGTGTATGCTCTGCCGCACCGCGTTCAGCTTCTGGATCCGTCGTCACCACTGCCGTCGCTGCGGCGCAGTGGTCTGTGACGCGTGCTCGGGGAGCCGCACCAAGTTCATCTACAAGGCACGTACAAAGGCAGAAGAAGCCCCAGCGCAGGCTCCACGTTTCGACAGCGAGCGGCTCGGGGGTCCCGACGGCCACAGCAGACAGTATCATTGACGTTGTTGACGCTATTGTCGTGTGTGTGTGTCTCTCTCTGTCTATCTGGTGACGAGCAGGAGATCAGCCCGAAGCGACAGGCAGAAGAGGACTGCCGCGTGTGCGACGCGTGCATTCAAGTGATCGACGAGAAAGTGGCGCTGAGCGTGAGTCGACGCGTGGACAAACGGCTGGCCGCAGCTGCACTCGGCTCTCCAGGTGCGGCCAGTGGCCAGCAGACGGATGCGGAGCCAGCCACCCCACTCGCGCCAGACGCAGCCGGCAACCGCACAGTCATGACCACGGGCCGATACCGGTGCGTGCGTGCGTCGTTCGTGCGTACACGTCTGTGCTCGAGACAGTGGCTGCAAATACTGAGCGGTCTGCGAGGTACATACAACTGACGTGCGGATTTGCCACAGAGCGGAGATCAGCGAGTCGGAAGGGAATCGATACATTCGCGACATCGATCTCTAGCAGCGGCCAAGAAGAGCTGCGAACGCGCAGTGGCGCACGCGACCCCAAAACGATCAACAGAGACGACACACACATGACGTGGATCGATCCATCGGTCGATCGGAGTACAATTACTATTGTTGCAGCAGTCGCAGCAGTCGCAGCAGCAGCAGCAAAGCCAAACGTCTCCTCGCGCTTTCGCCGATCCATTTTGGTTTCGCTCACACGTTCTCTGATGTGGTACGCGGTCTTTTTTGTTTGGCTACAGCTGCGACTGCGGTTGGGGTTCTCCCTGTCGCGCTGCAAATCGCGACGCGTCGTCCGCGACGTAAGTACGTCCGTACATAATGGAGCCAGATGAGCCACCCCCCCGTCCTACGGACCACGAGACGACACTGTACTTGCTCGTTGTATGCTCCCGCTCAAGTACGAACACGCGCCCGCCGCTGTGACTCGGCGCGCTTCCACGTCGTCGCGACGTCTGTGCTCCGAACCTTCGGCCACTCATTCGCACGGCAGCGCCCGACGCCGCACAACGTGGCGCGCGCTCTCGAGGCACCGCCTGTTTCTACCGACGACCCAACTCCACCGGCAGCTGCGGGTACTGCTACTACTACTGCTACCGTTACGACTGCGAAGCGCAGACGCGAGTCGGCAGCACAGGACAAAGCGTTCGATCCGTTGGCGCGCGTACGTGTTTTTGTGCGTTGTGTACGTAGCGCCACTGCGATGGAGGCCGGACGCAGAGACGCTGACGCGATTGAGTCGATGCCACTGGACGCTGAGCTCGAGGGCTCTGGCCGTGTTACGAGCAGCGCAGACGACAGGGACGACGACAGGTCAGTGGCTGCAGCGTCGCCGTTGAGCAAGAGCCGCAACGCGGTGTTGAGCGCGCCATTGGGCTCGCGACTGCGTGCGCCGACGACGATGACGAGAGTGTCGACGCCCGTTCGACGGACGAGCAGTGGCAGTTCGTTGGGGTCGACGCTCAACGCGACAAAGCCGACGGTCGATCGACGAGGCATTGCAGCGCGAACGCCATCTCGTGCGGGAGACTGGAAGAGCCTGTCGAGCGGTGTGGACGAGGGCGCGAGCCAGCGGTCGTCGGTGTTGGACGGCCGTCGCGCGTTGTCGGCGTCGGCAAACCGGACGCGCGTGGTGGACGACAGCTACGGATTGATGCGGACGGACAGTATGGGCAGCATGAGCAGTCTGGCCAGTAGTGGCGCAAGTGGGTCGTCGATGTCGAGGTCGCGGATCAGGCTGCACACTTCTAGTGCAGCGTCGGAGCGCAGGAAGACGCTGCACGGGCTGGTCGATAGCAGCAAAGAGAATCGACGCAGCAGTTTCTGCTCGCCGTCGTCGTCGTCGTCGTCGATGACTTCGTCCACGGCACCATTGCCGTTCCGATCTGCAACGTCGTCGCGGGCAGCGTCGCCCAGAATGGGAGCGACGCCGACGCGTAGAAGTGCGGGGGGCAGCGCGCCACTGGCACGCGCCGAGTCGACGCTGCAGAAGGTGTGGCCAGCTACAGCTCCACCCCTACCGGTTGATCCAGAAGACTTTACACTGAATGAGGAGTCAGTGTTGGCGTTGAAGATGGACCACAAGCTGACGGACCAGGGCGTCGAGGAACTGCTGACGTACGTGTCTTCGGCGTCAACGAGTACTGTACTGACGGCGGCGAATCTGAAAGCTCGGCAAGACGAGGTCAGACTGATGACAGCAGGCTTGCGTCGGCTGCGTGTCCACAGTGAAGGGCTGATGAAGTGCTGCGAGGCGTTTGAGATGAAGACGCTGGAACAGAACGAGTATGTAGACGCGTCTGCTGCAGAGGTTCGTCGACTGACGCAGTATATCGACTCACAGGCCAGCAAGAACGCAAAGGTATTGCCCGAAGAGCCCGAGTCCAGCGATTATCATGGTGAAGACTTGCTGTCAAAGTCGTCGCATGCGACGTCCGACTCAGAGACCGCCTCGACGATATCTTCACAAAACATCTTTTCGAGATTGTCGAGCGGAGAGACGAATCGACAGCATCACGAGCTTCAGCAGGCAATGCAGGAGGACTCGCCGTTGTCGGCTTATGTGCGCACTATTTTGAAGAAGGCCACGGACAAGATCGAAGAGAAGTGGAAAACGCGGTTTGCCGAGCAGCTCTCGGAGCACGAACAAGCATTGGCTCAAGAACGCGAGCGATCGTCAGAGTCGGTGGTCTCTAGCTCGCGTCTGGTAACTGAGACGCTGCATGGCAAGGATGATGAGCTGAAAGCGATTGAGGAGCTGAATCTTAAGCTGAACCAGAAGATCCGGCAGCTGGAGCTGGATCTGGATGCTGCTTGCTCCGAACGGGACTTTTTCAAGCAGCAAATGGACGATGATGACGAGGAGCGATCAGTAAGTGCTCATAGCTTTTGGGAGAAGACGACGGACTTGGCGAAGCAGAACCGCAATCTGACCGAGGACTTGTCACAAGCGAACAAGAAGATTGCTCACCTGACCCAGACGATCACGATCATGAAAACGAGGACGTCAAGTCTGAAAACGGAGAACGGCGATCGTGTTCGTGCATCGAAGTCAATCGTGGCCGAGAAGAATCTGCTACAAGACAAGTTGGCTGCTATGGAGGCAAAGTTTGAAGATGAGAAGAACCGCCGGGAGCAGTTCCAAGTAAATGTGGAGCAGCTGACTGTGGAGAATACAGCGCTGTACGCACAAATGGTGGCTCTCCAGACGACACATGAAGCCAAGATGGAGGAGCTGCAATCGCGCCACGAGAAGCGCAATGTTTCTCTTGCAGGCGAAATGAAGCTCTTGCAAGACCAGAACCGGCTGATGCGCGAGACGGAGCCTCGAAGCTACAACAAGTCGTCTAGCAGCAGTGTGGTTGTCGAAGGGTCGAGCTGTGATCGTTCTATGCCCCAGACGAATGACAAAGCATTGACTCAGCGCATTCGGGACCTGACGGACAGGTTGTTGGAGGCACAACAAAGCCTCGTAGAGAAGTCAAACACGATTGCGGAAATGGAGGTGACGATTGTTGAGGGTGACGCAATGCGTCGCAAGCTGCATAACACCATTCAGGAGTTGCGTGGCAATATTCGCGTGCACGTCAGACTGCGGCCATTCCTGCGGTCGGATGGCGGGGAAGCATCGGCCGAGAATCCGCAGTCGGCTATCATATGCGATACGTTTGCTTCCACGATCACGACGAATGTCGAGAACCCTCACACGTTTGCGTTTGACAAGATCTACGGTCCGTCAGACTCGCAGGAATCTCTGTTTCAGGACGTGTCGGGCTTTATCCAGTCCGCTATGGATGGCTACAACGTGTGCATTTTCGCGTACGGGCAAACGGGGTCTGGAAAGACGCATACGATGCAAGGAAGTGGGAAGGCGCAGATGCGCGGCATTATTCCGCGATCGATTGATTTGATCATCAAGTCGTGCGAAGAGCTGACGTCAACGGGATGGCATTTCTCGCTCATGGTGACGTTTTACGAGATTTACAATGAGACCATCCGCGACTTGCTCACGTTGGACAGTGGCAAGGATACGAAGCACAGCATTCGCACGGATAGCCGAGGGAAGAACTACGTGGAAGGGCTGACCGAGGTCATCATTGATGTCAACCAGGCCGCTGAGCAGGTGGATGAAATTGTGAACTTGGCTGCGTGCAACCGTTCCGTCGACCGCACCGACATGAACGCGCACTCGTCTCGGAGCCACAGTATCTTTGCGCTGACGATTCGCGGGTACAACGAAGTGCAGAAGACAGAGGTCGAAGGAAACCTGAGCTTGGTCGATCTCGCTGGAAGTGAGCGGCTGAGCCGGTCGAACGTCACGGGCACTCGGTTGAAAGAGGCACAGGCGATCAACAAGAGTCTCAGTGCTTTGGCCGACGTGTTCCAAGCCCTTGCAAAGAAGTCGCCCCACGTCCCGTACCGCAACAGCAAACTCACGTACGCTCTGCAGCCTGCGCTCTCGGGCGATGGCAAGACGCTGATGATGGCCAACTTGTCGCCTACGTACGCGTCCCTGGACGAGTCGTTGTGCAGCATGCGCTTTGCACATAAAGTGAGCCAGTGCGAGCTGGGTGCTCCTGTGCGTCAGGTCAAATCCACGAGGCGTCAGTCATTGGGACCTGGGGATATAAGTCGTGGCAACCGAAGAAGTTCGCCGCCGGGTGAATCTCGACGAAGTACGCTCACACCGGGTGCACTGAAGAGACTGCTGTAACGAGAACGGCCAGGAGGGCGTTGCTGCAGTTGTTACATGTAAAAAACGGCACATACCCGAATGAGGCGCCGACACGGGATGGTGCAGACCGAGCGATTCGTGTGACCTGGTGCCAAAAGGGAGAAACTCGATAAACAAGATGCATATGTGAGTGCAAGCCTCTTCGACTGCTGAGGCGGTGGAGACGGCTGCTTTGATTCTGTGAACAGTACATATAATGCGGGAGAAAATGCAAAGTAGATTGACATCAGTGGGGTTTCGTTGGTTGCGTGCGTGCAGCTCTCTAGCAGCTGTGTCAATTGATGCAGGAGACTTGAACCCTGAGGACCAACATGCGATTTTTCGACGGCTGTCCGACGCACGAAGACGAAGAGACAGCCGCGTCATTGCAACATCCAGGGCAGCTGCAAACAGCAGGACTTCAGACCAATGCAAGTGACAGCAAAAACGTACAAGCACGAGCGAAACGTCGAAGCCAGATGCCAGCTCAATGCTGTTCATCTCGAGCGCAGTGTTTGTTGTTTATCCGCTTGTACACTGCTTCCGCTTGCCTCGTTCCAACGTCCTCGTCCGCACTTATGCCGAAACTAGTCGCGCTCGCTGATCGACGTCAAGTGGGTCTCGATCTCGTCCTCGGTCAACTTTCGGAACCGCTGGCCTTGCACGACGACGCCCACTTCGATCTCGTTGGGGCGAAAGTCCGCCGACAGTATCGACTGCAGACACGTGATCGCCGTGTGCAGTGTCAGCTCGTAGTCCATGGCCGGATTGGCCTTGATCTTCTTTTCGAGGTAGTTCTGCGCCTCCTGTTCCTTGACACCTGCAGACGTGGCCTTGTAGCCCCAAAAGTGGCCTGCTGGATCAATCTTAAACAGCTGCGGTCCCTTCTCTTCGTCCACGCTAATGAGCATCGTGACCACACCAAACGCCCGCATCGAGGCGTGCTGCGTGTACACCTGCGCCACGTCCGCAATGCGCTTCGCCAGCACGTGGCAGGGGATCTTGTAGCCAAACTTGTTCTCAAACTCGTGGGCCTCGAACCGCAAGCGCTGCACCTGCGCCTTCGAGTCGGCTGCAACGACAGTCAGCGACACCGACGACTCCGTCAGCAGTCAACGAGCCCCACAAAACGAGTGCAGCACGAACGTCTACGCACCGTATAGTCCCGTCATGAGGCAGCCAATCTCGGGCGTAATGTGAAACACATTCGTGACCGACTCGGGCTCAATGAGTTTGTCCTATTAGCCATACAACAACAACAACAACAACAACAACAACAGCGTCAGACTCGCCGTTCCACTCTCTCTCGCCCGCTCTTGACAAGTCACGTTGATCTACTCACCTGCACTTTCTTCTGCGTGACAAAGACGGCACTGTCTTTGCCCCGCACCGCTACGGACGTGAGCGTCGACTCTTTGGCAGCACGGAAGGCGTACTCTGAAGTAAGCCGAACGAGTGGTCAGTTGTGAGCACGAGTGCGGCCATCTTTGTACCGTTGGGGCGCCCAAAGGAGGCGATCGGTCCACCGATCAAGCACAGTAAGCGCGCGCGCGCGAGCGAGAGAGAGAGAGGGGGAGAGAGCACTTACCGATCTGATAGAGCCGTCCTTCGGGCGAGAAGATGGTAATGTGGCGGTCGTATCCGTCTCCCGGCATGACTTGTACACGCGCGTAGCTGCGATCGACCGACTGTACTGTATACTGACAACCCGCGTCTCCCTTTGTCTGCGATCTATCACTAAAGTAGCAGCAGACGCGGTGGGTCGTGGTGTATTCCAACACAGAGGGTAAACGAAGCCGCCGCGGTTGGTACTACTTCAGCGACCCTTGATGCCCTCGTGCGAGTGACGGCAGCCATGTGACAGTGACGTGACGACCTTCACACGAGACAAAAATGGCTGCTCGGGACTTTGTCGGCTACGGCGCGCGTGGGGCGGACCCCAAGTGGCCCGGCGGGCAGAAACTCGCGCTGCAGTTCGTGCTCAACTACGAAGAAGGAGGTGAGCGCTGTGTGCTGCACGGAGACGAGGCGTCCGAGCACCTGCTGTCGGATATTGTCGGTGCAACACCGTACGTGGGCCAGCGCCACCTCAACATGGAGTCGCTGTACGAATACGGCAGTCGCGCGGGCTTCTGGCGGCTGCATCGCGCGTTCACTGAGCGTAGAGTGCCTCTCACTGTGTTTGCTGTGGGGCGCGCGCTGGAGGAGAACCCACAGGCGGCTCTGGCCATGAAGGACGCGGGCTGGGAGGTCGCGAGTCACGGGTACCGCTGGATCGACTACCAGCTAGTGGACGAACAGACCGAGCGCGACCACATTCGCCAGACTGTAGCCATCCATGAACAGCTCGTGGGCACGCGGCCCGTGGGCATCTACCAGGGCAAACCGAACGTCAATACCCGCCAACTCGTGGTCGACGAAGGAGGATTCTTGTACGATGCCGACGCGTACAACGACGACTTGCCGTACTGGGACACGCGCTGTGGACGGCCTCATCTTGTCATCCCGTATGCACTCGACACGAACGATATGAAGTTTGTGTCAGCGCAGGGATTCAACGCGGGCGACCAGTTCTTCACGTACTTGAAAGACGCCTTTGATGTGTTGCTCCAAGAAGGACGTGCTGGCCAGCCTAAGATGATGTCAGTGGGCTTGCACTGCCGCGTGGTTGGACGCCCTGGACGCATTGCTGCACTGCTGCGCTTCTTGGACTACGTGTTGAGCTTTCCGGACGTCTGGATCTGCACGCGCGAGGACATCGCACGCCACTGGTACGCGACACACTATCCACATGATGCTGCACGTCCAAAGCTGTAACGCAAGCAAGTGCGTGCACGCAGCAGTCAACAATGCACGCATAAACTTCTAACTAGTATTACCATTTTTCGAGTGGACACTTCGCCAATGCTGTCAGTCCCGGACCTCTTTGTACAGCTACCTCGGCACGATGGCACCGGCGTCGGTGCCATTGCTACTGCTGACGTTGCCGCTTACGTTTCGATCAATCGCAAGCCATGCACTCTCCGCATCTGTAAGCTCTTTTAGTCGAGCTAAGATGGGTGCTTCTTGTGTGGGATCTAAACTTCGCGCAAACAGGAGCTGAGTTCCAAGCAGACAGACAGCGGGATCATTAGAACACGTAGGAGACGTCAACAGTACAATCGGCAGATCGTACCTGCTCCACGTCTTTGCGAAGAAAACGAATCGCCTTCTCATGACGGTCTTTCTCGACGCCTCGCTTGTACAATGGGTACTCGCCCTGTGGATCGTTGATCTCGTCTTTGAGGAAAGACCGTGACGAATACGGTACCACGCGATACCGGAGGTTCACCCGCAGGTACTTGCTAAGCATGAACACCAAGTGTGCAATGTATCCCAAAGCAGTAGAGATCATCTCCTCGTCAGCTCTGCCGCCGCCTGTGAGGTCTGAGTTCGCAATACGAATGCCGCGGATACTGTACTCGCCAGCGCCTACATAATCGATGGGGTAAACGGTGCCAAGCTGCTTGACGAGCATCGCCTGTCGAGAACGGATCTTGTGTGCTGCATGCAACACTTCACATCGACGCTTGAGAATGTTCTGCCGCTCTTCCTTGTAACGCATCGTCATTTGCATGGTGCTTACGAGAGCCTTGGCAATATGGATATCCGTCTCAAACGTCCTGCGCTCATCTTCCATCACAGCCTTCAGCCGCTCCAAAGTGTGTCGTTTTACTGCTACTCGCGCTCGTGCAAGGCGAACACGCTCCTCTAATACCGTGCGCTGATGTTCGCGCGCAATTCGCTGTTGTGAGTGTAGCAGTTTGTTCCGGATCTGTTCTTTCAGCGCGGCGTTTGCCGCCGTTAGCTCTGTGATCTTCTGTTTTGTCGTCAAAATGTGTTCGAGTGCATCGACGCCTTTGTGTAAACTGTAGTCCTTCAGCGGAATAGCAGACCCTTTCCTCCTTGGGTGCTTGGGCGCAATAACACCTTTTTCAACCAGCAACTCAAGCACTTCCCGATGCACGTATGTGTGGCCCGAGAACTCAAACAAACAAGTGTTCAAAGGCAAGTTTGTCAGGTCGGCAAGGGCCACTGGCAGCGGGTCGAGCTCTCGTATGCCAAAGTTGAGACTCAATATGTCTTCTTCAAATACTTTCGCATTGTTTCCATTCGAGCTTCCTGTATATGTTGACGTGTCGGAATCCGTCATGCCGTCGTGCGTGCCCGTCGCGTCGTCGACATCATCAAAATTATGCTTGGCGTCAGCAAACGATCGCGAGTTATTGATCGGTCGGTCGTCTCCTAGCGACAAACGGTCGCTTCCGAAGCGCGACTTGCGTCGTGGCCGCTTCGCTGCCTTCCGATCGTGCACGCGCACGACTACAATATCAAACCTCGTGCCGCCACTCAACAACGTCTCGACACCTGCTAGTCCGTCACCAATAATATCATCAGCTTCCGACTTGAATGGTACCCACACGGGATTCAGCGTGTTGCGCGCGACTTCACTCTCGTAGACGACACGGCCATCGACCACTACAACCATCAAAAGAGAGACATAGACATTGACATGGACCGACAGACACAACAGCAACAAAAAAGAGGTCAATGAGCGTCAAGGGTTAGCATACCACGCCACACCCTCTCTGTGGTCCATTCGTACCTAATCGAAAGTACACGTGGAGTAACACGTCTCGGCTCGTGCCATGCACCGACAAGTTGCGCATACTAAACCCGCTAAGTTGCTGCAGCGTGACCGACGCCGAGCGACTGGACGGCGTCGGGGTCGTCCACGTAGGAGCGATACTGCTGGCGGTCAAGTTGATCGCGCCGCCAAAGCTGCCCGTGATGCTCGACACTGGAGTCATCCTGCGCGCGCCGCTGTAGCTCCTTTCGCGCGCGCCGCTGTAGCTCCTTTCGCGCGCTTCGCTCGCAGTCCGTGTGGTCACCAGATGCAGCAGCTGATGACGGCGTCAGCGGTGGCGTGTCGCGCGGGTTCGTGGCAAGAGTTGCGGTCGCGCGGGGCGCTGGGCGCGGGCGTCGACTTTCGAGGGGGGAAAGTCGGCGGCGGCGGCGTGTTTCGTGCTATTGGCAAGATGACACCGAACGTACACTCGACGGCGCAAGTTGAGCTGGGGGACGAGGCTCGAGCCACCGAACGCGGAGGCGAGGCAGAGACAGGGCGCACGACCGGGAATTTCAGCCACTCACGGCGTACGCGCGCGTTGGTTGCTCGTCAGAAAACGTGCAGACTCGGCATTGACTGGCGACTTGGGGCGAAAGGGTCTGCGTTTTTGTGCTGGGTGCACGCCATCGAGTCCTTTTTCTGCGCCCAATGAAACAAAGAGCTTCAGCCGAGTCTGTGTGTACTGTACGCAGCGCGTTCGGGTCGTGGCTTCAACCACTGTGTTTCGCTCTATCCTGTTGCCATCGTGTGTTTACATGGCACCACCAGCAGTAGCAGCAGGAGACGCCACTAGAGCTTGATTTGATCTGACTCAATCAATGAGTCATGCACGAACACGAAAGCAGCAGGAACGCGCGAGCTGTTACTGCTTGTCGAAACGATCGTCTGTAAGTTGGGAGACGTGCTGCGGTCCCGTTAGCTGGTGTAAGTGCTTGTTGCTATTCAGACGCAATGTGGTCGCGTCTCATGTAGAGAGTCGGATTCACAGCTAGACGAACGAACGAACGAACAAACAACAAGCATACAACAGATGAACGAGCGCATGCCTCCACCCTACAGCTTGCATGTCATAATGGATCAATCCTAGTAGTGGAGCAAAGACACCAGTTGGGGTGCAACATCGTAGCAGTCGACCTGGTACGTCCAGAGCATCGAGCAGCTAAAGCCAGCGCAAAACATCTCTCGGCCCTGGTGTCCAGCAACGCGCTGGCCATTCCATCCCGCATAGGTGGCGAAAAGTGCCGCCCTCAGAGAGCGTCGCAATGCGTGTGGTAACCTGGCAATGCATCGAGCACTTCAGCGGGAGGACAAGCCACTAGCACCGGCCTGCAGCCCCAGAGCTGCGACTGGGATGTCATCAGTTCGTGAGCCGAACGTCGATGTCGACAAATTCTCGAGTCGCTTTTTGCATATTGTAATCGAGTGCAGCAGTTGACTTTGCTTCCGTCAGCAAGCTACGCAGCAGCAAACACGTTGGTAAAAGACGGCGTCACTGTCCGCGGCTTTCGAACTGCAACGACGTTTGTCTCGCACACTTGAGACCACAAAGGGTCCGTCTTTTGGAGCAGGCAGACGACGACGAGGCATACGTAGGCATGTGGCAGCGATATGCACAACAGCCGATGCCATTGCTGACGAGAAGGTCAAGTGAAGGAGGATAAGTGGTGTGCTTCTGCAGAAAAAGCTGTTCCAGAAGGAAACGTCGTGGCACGGACCAGTGGGCCTCTCGGCCATTTTCGCGTCCAGAAGTTGCTGTTCAGCAGACATGTGGACATGCAGGTAGATACCCTCCGCCCAATTCTGCCCAACACTTTCGACGGGCCTTAAAGCTTAAGGCGACAAATTGACTTTAGCCCCTAAGACGACAAATAGACTCGTCCAAAAAATTGAAGCGGTACAGAGAGTTCTGTTTCTTTTGTACCCATTGCCACCAACTCGTGGACACGCAAATGTAGCCATCACCAAACAGATCACCAAACAAGTCAAAGGCGCAGCATATTGACCAGCAGCAGCACCAGTCAAGTCCACGAGAGCTGCGTGCCGAAGGCTGTACTGCCCGCAAGACCAATGGACGAGACCGACTGGCGCGCGTCCGTCGAGTTCGAGATCAAGCGCGTGGCTGTGGGCGATCTAGCGGTGCAGGTGTGCCAGATGGAGGAGCTGTCGGTGGCTGCGTCGCTCTTCATGTTGGCAGAGATGGACGCGAACGTGACGGAGATCTCGGGCACGCGGCTCTGGACAGGCTCTCACTTTCTATCACGGGTACAATACTGTGCTCCTCTCTCTCTCTCTCTCTCCTCTCTCTCTTGTTCTTGGTGTCAAAAGGCACCATGATTGACAGTGTTCGTGTTGATGCGGCAGTATCTATGGCACCATCCAGAGCTCGTGCAAGACAAGCGCGTACTGGAACTCGGCGCTGGCACGGGTATCTGCAGCATCGTGTCGTCGAAGCTCGGTGCTGCGCAGTGCATGGCTACAGATGGAGACAAGGAAGTTGTAGAGCTGCTGACCAAGAACGTGCACGTGAATGACGTGGAGAGCGTCGTGACGGCTCGCTCGCTGTTCTGGGGCGACGAGCCGTCGGCACAGACACTGCTGGAGGAGTTTCCGCGTGCGTTCTCAGATGTCGACATTGTGCTGGCCGGTGACGTGCTTTACAAGCGCGAGTTGCTGCCGCTGCTTTTTCAGACGGTCATGCAAGTGTTGCTGACTGCAGATGGCAAAGAGCGCACGTTTGTGCTGTGCCATATTCCTCGAGCTGACGTGTCACACGAGCTCGTGCAAAAGCAGATCATCGACTCAGGGCTTCGGTTCAAAGAGGTTGAACTGCCTACGGAAGACGCGAGGGATGCCGCTGTGAAGCTAGAAGAATGTCCCGAAGAGGACGTAAAACGAGCCAAACTGTACGTTATCCACCAAGTGATCATATCAAGATGAACAAATGTGTCTATTGCACTGCAAGACGTCGAGCTGATCTATATTCGGTGGACGACTCAGTTGACTCACTCAGCTTTCGTTACCGTCGTCTTCGTCGTCACTTGAGTCGGAACCCAATAAGCTGAACGCGTTCACTGGAGCCGCGTGCTGCTTTCTTCCACTCGCAGGCTGTGCCCTTGACTGCTCCTCCTCGTGTTCCGCTTCCACTAACCTAGCACCGTCAGCAATTGCGCTTCTGTCGTCCTCCTCGAGTGAGACTTCTTCCAACTTGCAGTATGTTGCGACACTGGGTGGCGTCATGTCTTTCCCAGTGTAATTGGGAGGAAGAAAGAACAGAGGCAAAATACCGTCCACTGCGTCGCGCACGAGCTCCGATCCTGCTCGTTGGTGATCGGGCCGACCACGACGGTCTGTGCGATACCCACGCTTCTCTGCATAGGCTTCACATATATTCCACGGCGTCCATTCCTGCAGAATGAAAAGACGTGTCAGTGGTGACACACGTGGTGATGATCATTGCTGCTCGAGCGTACCAGTTCCTCCATCTGCCCATCGAAGAGCTGCGTGCGAGGCTTCAAGTCCAGAATTTGTTCCAGCACGACATGTTCTGCCAGGAATCGCACCGCTGAGTATGGCTCTCGTATCTGACAAGACAGAAACAGAAGCCGAATCAATAACAAACATCTAGTCGCATGGGCCAAAAGCTCGGCACAAGAAGACCTCTTACCTGTGAATACGGGTACAACCCACTTAGCTCTTGGAGATACTTTGGCACGCCAGCAAATGGAAATACGAGGCCAGGGCAGTCGCAAATGCAGACCTCAGGTGCAATCATGATGGATTGGAGTCGTTTCGTGTGTCCCGGCGTGTGCGAGACACTCACAATCTTCTTGCCCGCGAGTGCGTTCAACACACTGGACTTACCCACGTTTGGATGGCCGATAAGGCCGATGGTCACTTTAGGTGTGTGGCCGTGGCCCGTCGTTCCGGCGCTACCAGGCACTGGAAGGTTCGTCGACATCGCAGCCAACGCAGACTGTAGTTGTACCTGGTAATGGCCCTTGAGCTCAGCATGCTCCTCACGGTCGCAACGAGTACATAGCAAATATCCTCGAGCAATAGCGTCCGCTTCATCCTTGACATTGGCATCGGTACTGCTTGGCCGCCCGCCAGTTGCACACGACATACAAGCGACGACAGCACCGTCGCTACCGCAGTGCTGACACTCGTAAAGCGTGGTCGAGCCATCATTACTCGCTTTGCCGTGTCGGGTACCACCGCGATTCTTCTGTTTGCGTCTACTACGACGTTTTCCACCTGCCTTTTGCTCTTGTGCTGCATCAGATTGCAGCGGCAAACCCTCTCGTGTCAACGCGCATGCATTCAGTTCTTCGACAAGCTGTTGTGCCTCTGCGGTCTCGATACCGCAAGCCACCAGGATATCTACTGCACCCTTGATCGCCGACGCGTCTCCTACATCCAGCTTCTTGCTGCAGGCGTCAAAGAAACAATGAAAATTCGCCCAACAAAGTCCAGTCTCATTGTATCACTACCTTTCTCACCTGAGGACACGGCGTCGGGTGCTCACACTAGTATCGCCATACACAGCTTGTAAGCGCGATGAGAAGCAGACAAGTTGGGCAAGAGGAAACCGTCCAGACAAGTAGCGCTTCCAGAGCTGGACCGCAGCAGCTGGAATCAAATCGATCTTGTTCAGCACGACAACCATCGGCTTCTTCAGCTCTTTCGTCACGAGGTCGTAAACGGAAGCTGGGATATGCAGCAGTGGGTTGCGCACATCAGCCACGATTACGACGTGCGTCGCTCGCTCAATGACGCGCCACAGCTCACGCCAGACCTCCAAATTGTGTTCAAAGTGGTTCAGGTGCTCATTGTCGTACTTGTCATGTATCTTAGTCAGCCACTGATCGAACATGATGCTTTCGTTGTTGTCCACTAGAACAACCAGTCCACAAGCAACCACGATACACTCAAGTCAACAACGACAACAACAACGACAACAACACCAAAGTGACTCGTTCTCTCCCAACATCACTTCGCACACCACACACCTTTTTCCTTGGACATTGTGTACGTCCACTGTGGTCGCTTGGGGTGGTCCAGAATCGGGTCGCGTGCACTTTCGACCGCCAGCAGCGGCGTCTCTCGCTTCATCACATCCAGCGGTCCTTGTCCCTCCATCAGCCTCAGCTGAATCTGCTCCTTGGTTTCCTTCACAAAGAAGCTCGAGAGCTCTTTGCCCACTGCGTCCTTATTGTTCTTGCCCAGCGCCACCGTGAGCTTCAAACGGGCACTGAGGTCGTTGTCCAGATCGTTCTCGCGCGCGAAAAAGTCCATTGAGGCGCGAACGTCCTTTGCGTCATCGACTCGCTCTTCTCGAACCTCATTGAACGGCACTGTGTCGGCGTAAAACGCTTCGTATTGCGCGCTCTGCAGGTCCAGCGCCGCCTCGTGGTCTCGCCGAGCGGCCAGTCGCTCTTTGCGCGCACGGAGCTGCTGCTTCTTCTGCTTCCCGCTAAAGTTGGCCGTCACAGACGTCTTGTCGCGCTCTTTACGCTCGTGCTTGAGCGCGTCCAGTTCCTCGCGGCGGCGGGCCTGGAGCGCCGCCACGCGCTGGACCTGCTCGAGTTGCACGTCCATGTGGCGTGACGATGGACCAGCCACTGCACGGGCGTTAAGTACGGGCTGTGTGGTGCGTCCAAAGCAGTACTTAGCAGCTGAGCGACAAACGGAAGCCATTTTGGCGGCGGAACATGGCTATAGAAACTGCGTGTCAATGTAAAAGCCAAACAATAAGCGAAAGAAGATCGTTGAGCACTTTGTTTGTTGAAGAGGCGCACACACCGAGAGCGCAACATGTATCGATCGATTTCGATCGAACTGTCGATTGCGTCGTTGCTGTCGGGCTTGCAGTCGCGGTGGTCCTCTTTTCTAAGGTACCCGCTGCACCTGCTGCAATAGTCAGAACGTCAGTCAATATTGAGCGAAGCGGATCGAAGCGCGAGACGAGGAGAACGTATGCTGCAGAGTCGCTGGGCATTGCTTCCATTAAGTCCATGAATATGTGCACGACCTAGCAACGTCATTGCCGCGATCCAAGATGACGTATTGGCGGTCATCGAGTCGCGTGGCCGTTTCTGACGTCCACGTCGTCAACTTGCTTTAGGTTGTTCGTTATTCCAGAGTGCAATAGTCGCTTACAGCGCGCGTTATCCACATCATGCACTTTTGCAACATTGTGGGCAGTGCTTCCTTCGACACGGTGTCCTCGATCGCGCTTTAGTCTCGGACGTGCTGTCAAATTGGCGTCTACCGGCCTCGTCCGGATTTCTTGTATGCAAGAGCGAGCTCCAGAGCTTGTAGTTTATCGATAGTTCTGCTTGGAATGGGCGACGCAACTTTGCACAAAGAGATGCCTTTGCTATTGGCGCACTGTAATGGTTAGGATACGTACAAGGCACTATCGTCGTCATGGTTTACATGCCTTGTCAGAATGAAAGAACGTGCTTGAGCGATGTCCATTATAAGTAATCGGATGCTGTGCATTGCAAGTACCGAGACAAAGGCGCGGAGAATGGTATAGCAGTCTGGTGACTTTCGTCGATACATCAGTTGGACCGCACGCATCACGGAGAGCGCTTATTCTTCGTCTAGGTAATAGTTCTACAGCCGGCGCCACATTTGTGTGGGTCCTTTCGTCCTCATCTTCACCCGCCACTTGAAGCTCTTGCAGGATCTCGTCTTCGGTCAGTTTCGTTCAGCCGAGTACTCCCCCTTCTTTCCTTGCCATCAAGAAGATCCGAATCGACACGGGACTCCGTAGACGCAGCTGTGTCAGCTGAGATTTCATCTCTAGCTCCCTTGATGACTCCTCAATCTACATCGAAATATCGTTGTTCCTCTTTGCCTCCGCATCTTTCAGACAGACAGACATGAGACTTAGCAAATAGTTGCGTGTGATTGTAGCAATCGACAATGGTGGTCGTCCAGGTCCCGATCTAGGTCGCTATTGAACAGCGCGTTGCAGCAAGTCATGAGACATTCGTGACCATTGTCGTCATGCGATACTAGAAGAGGCTAAGTATGATCAGCATCTTTTGCTGTGGACAACGCTTGGTGGTGGCGATACTTTCTTGCTGTATCAAGAAGGTTGAACAGCGGCGAGCAAGAAAGGAAGAAGAAGCGTGCTGAACAAGAACGAGGAGAATGGCGAACAATGGTAGCTGTGCTGTCAAACGGTACTCATTGTCATGATTGTGAAGATTGTGTCAGAGATAGGCCCTCGTCTCTTTGAGTTACTTGACCGGCCAGTGTGAGAGTGACCGACAGCCAAACAATGCGACCGGTCAATTGGATATGGACTGGATGTGGGTTGCTTTGCAGCAGCACCATTGACAAATGCGCTTCTATCGGATGTCGGTCAATGGAATCGGAGACCAGATGGAGAGCAAGTGCTATGTGCAAAGGCTATCAAGCGTGTGTGAAGCACAATCCACGTTCGTTGTCGAGAATGTGGCTGCACGACTTTTTCGCACGTCACACTTTGATGCTTCGGCGTCGGTCGATGACATTTGTAATGCATTGGTCTGAATACCCTGCTCTCCCGAGCGCAGCAAAGGCGGTCGTGGACTGTATCAGTCGATCTATGAGTTTGTTGTGGTTCAGAGAGACAGGAGTCAGAGCTCCGTTCGCAGAGGCGTGCAGCTAGTCAAACTTGCACTAGTTGTTCGTAAGGACGTATAAAGCATATAGCGCTGCGCCGGAGCGGGAGTGGAAAGTCGGCTTAAACTCAATGAGTAAGGAAACTGACGTCTTACCTGACAAGTAAGACTGCCTATTGGGTCGAGTGATCCATGGGTTCTAATTTGTGACGGAGGTGGAATGGCCGTTCGTTTAGAAACCCACTACTTTCGGGTGACTGAACAGGGGCCGGTCCCCGCCCCATCATCTTGACTTTCACAACCTATGCAGTCTTCCTAAAACGTAACATGTGCGATAGCTACTGTATCACATCAATGTGCGGTTTACGCAGTCTCGAGCGCGCAGCAGTTCAAGATATCGTCAGGCCGGCCGTACAAGTTGCGGTGACACTGCGTTGGACTCAAGTGGCCAAGATTGCGCGTACACGTTATCATACCAGCCGTGCAAATCGTTTCGGTTGCTGTACAGCACACCTGCGAGTTATGCACATACGCTTGTCCGCTCGACGTCGGTGCCTGTTCCTCGTTTTACCTCATTGATAGAATCACTATGTAAATCAGGTTGGACGACCGATTAACGATGGGTTGTGCCGCTGAAGGTAGGTTACGTTGTCTCGGTCACAGGTCAGCATCATTACAATGAACACAGTCTTTCATTTTAATAACTTTCTTTTCCCCCCGAAAACTTACAGACTCCGCTAAGTATAGGAATTAATGTCGACCGTTTACAGTCTATAGTTGCTAACTGATACCTTATTAGTTATAGCGAAGAAGCCAGCTATAAGGTTATATAATGAGATTTATCTACCGAGGCTGGGTAAATAGGTTTATCAAGATAATTATCGACGGTGGATTGTATCGTATTAAATATGCGAATGTCAACCTGAGGGTTGCGGAGTATCTAGCAGGCAGAAAAATGCTGTTTTGAGACAGATAATGTAGCGGAGCTACACAGCTCCTTAATCCAGAGGAAGACTTAACGCTCTACGAGTACCTTTGGTTCTACAAACCCAACTCAGAGAGTCAACAAGCTCGAGAGCTTACGGTCCGTGTTCCAGGGGTACCAAACGATTCAAAAGAATCACAGCACATAGTGCACAAGGAGAAGCTACCTTTATAAGTATTGCTAGCTCCTACCGATCAAAGACGCCTCGTAAGGCACGTTTCTTTCAGTGATCAAAAGGGGAAAAGAACTATATATCTTCTTATAACCGAAGAGAACACCTTAGAACAACGTAATTAACCTACTCGCTAATGTCCTAAATGAAACCTCTCAAAAGATCTCGTAATCAATGGTTGACAGACATCAGTCTTCAACAATTGACACTGTGTTCGAATATCACTTTATGGGATCCCCAACCCTTGTGTGCACCACACCTATTGTCGACTACCAGCAAACGTGTAACCCCGTTACAGATCGAGCCAGGTGTCCTCTCCACCTATACGGTGACTTCTCGGCCTTGGTGAACATGTCTGTATCCACACCCTCAACTGCTGCAGCTCTTTCCGTCCCTTACTCCTTCATTTGCACTGCATCCAGCATCTCTTAATTATTGAGCTCTGGCTTAGCACTCTCGTATTCCTTTACGAAGTCTGTACAATTATTTATTTATATCCGATTGCGGGACCACAGCTGTTTAAGCTTGTTATCAGAACCTGCTACTAAGGTCACTCTTCCTTTCAGTCTTCTTTTACGAATCCCATGTTCTACTTCATCTCTCCAGACATGAAATCTTGTCGGCTACACGAATGTTCTACTGTGGGGCTATCAATCGTGCTGGTCGAAATGTCCGTCCAAGCAGAATGATAGGCACATGGCTGTTAGCTAATCGAATTTGTGAATACTACCGATTTTGGCTCGTTTCGTCGCAATACAGAGCTTTCTGAGGATGGTAACGCGAGTAAAAGCTTTACAAGCGACCATTATGCCCGCATACATTAATCGAACTTTTGAGGTCAGATTAGGCGAAAGAAGCTGAAGTGTGACATATGTCCGTGTCAGGCCCTCCATTATGTGGTTGGTGCATTGTCAATTAAAAAAGATCCGACACTCCCTCACTCTTAGCTACCAAGTCATGTGTTTGCAAGATAAATGGACGCATATTATGGCACAAGACGTTCTTCATAACTTTGTTAACATCAAATGTTGTTTTTAAATAGCCTTCTCACCCGTGCTATCACGTAGTTACTACTAAGTTATTACCGACTACTCATCGAGATTCTTTTATTGAACTACCGCGATTAATGGCTCATCCAATTAAAAATGGCTGTAGCCGTTTGGACACGTCATGATTCGATGTGAAAGATACGGTGGTACGCTTCTGTAGTGCCAGCAGATAATTATATAAGTTAATTTGGAGAAACACATTGTATTTATAGATCTTTACTTATTTGTCTCTCTCAATCTATGTCGAAATTATAGTCCTACTTGGTGTCATGCTGCATTAGAAATCCTACAAATATTGGGTGAATCAGCATGATCCATATACAACAAGGTTAATAATAGACTTCACGACTCAAAACGTTGTTTATATCACAAAGGGAATACCCAACAGTAAACGCAACAGACTAGGTAAAACCTGTTACGAAGATCTTCGTTTGATAATTTGCTTGCGTGGTGAATGAGAATAGCACAAATTTCGTGATGTTGCAAAATATGTTATGGTCCATATTTGCGTGAAATTGATGATGTCCTACAAGTTTAAAGTAATTCGGCATATCTCTGACTATATTCTCACATCAGATCCATAGTGAGGATATATCCACGATGCTGGCAGTACTATACCCAGAACGTCTTTGCCTCCCCCGCCACTGGGTGTTGGACATGCGCTATTTCTTAGCGATAGGGATGCTCAAGATCATTGCCCAGAGCTCAGCAAATAATTGGATGATGTTGTAAATAAAAACCTGGGTCACGCCCTCAGCGAGGTTTAATTATTT